ACTCATATGTGGAATATAAACCAACACATGGACAGAGAAAACTGTATTGTGGTTACCAGGGGCAATGGGGATGGCGGGTGGGCACAAGGGGTGAAGGGAGACATATATATGGTGATGGACAAACAAAAATGTACAACCCAAAATTTCACAATGTTAAAAACTATTAAAACATCAATAAAAAAATACAAGAGGTTAAAATTTATAAAATCACTGAAGAAAATTGAATTTTCCAAGAGCGATGTGATAGAAGAAATCAAAAAGTAAAATAATATTAAAATATAACATCTTTATATAAAACATCCCCATAGTTACAGCATAAATAACATAAGGTTAATATGTGTAGCAAATATATATGTTTAACATAGAAAGAGTTCATCAAAATTCATCAGTAAAAATTCTCACTCCAACAGAACAAGAATTCAAGGATAAAATTAACAATAAAATTTATGGAGTGGATTCTACGTCCCAGACATAATGCAAGATACAGAGAGCACAAAGACAGCTAAGTAACCTTCCCTGACTTCAGATAGCTTCTAGACCAATGAACGTAGGCAATGGATAAAGATTTTAATCTCATTAATTGAAATAACTAGACAAATTTGAAAATTAACTAAATGTCAATCTTAGTCCATTTGGGTTGCTGTTACAGAATACCCTAGACTGGGCAGCTTAAACACCAAACATTTATTTGTCGCAGTTCTCAAGGCTTGGAAGTCTCAGATCAAGGTGCCGGCTGATTCTGTGTCCAGTGAGGACACACTTTCTAGTTTATGGACAGCCATCTCTGTTCTGGGCAGAAGGGTCAAGTGAACTCTCTGGGGTCTCTTTTATAAGGACACTAATCCCATTCATGAGGGTTTCACCTTCATATATATATTTTGAACTAGTTAATGATGAAAATCTTAGAAATATATTTTGATCATGGGATGTATTCACATAATAAATACTTTTCATCATGCCCAAGTTATTCTTTATTTTTATTTTTTTGTGAGGAAGCTCAGCCCTGAGCTAACATCCACGCTAATCCTCCTCTTTTTGCTGATGAAGACCGGCTCTGAGCTAACATCTATTGCCAATCTTCCTCCTTTTTTTCCCCCAAAGCCCCAGTAGATAGTTGTATGTCATAGCTGCACATCTTTCTAGTTGCTGTATGCCCAAGTTATTAAACTTGAGGAGAAATGTACTCAGTTAAATAATCACACATGACTATCCTGGAAGGAGCAATTCTTCATTGAAAACAGTTGATACATTTCTCTGCCGCCTCATTTTCCTTTTCTGGTCCAGAGCTTTTTCATGGCATTTTTCATCTCTCCATTTCTCAGAGTATAGATTAAGGGGTTCAACATAGGGGTGATAATGGTGTAAAACACAGTCAAGGGTTTATCAATGGGTAAGGTAGAAGGAGGTCTCACATACATAAAAATACAGGGGACAAAGAAGAGGACCACCACAGTGATGCGGGAGCCACAGGTGGACAAGGCTTTGTGCCTCCCTTTCTGACTAAGAGTCTTCAGGGAGCGCAGAATGACCCCATAGGAGATGAGTAAGAGAATGAAGATGACTCCACAGATTGTCCCATCATTGACAATGACAGTGAGACCAATAATGTAGGTGTCAGTGCAGGCAAGTTTTAATAAGGGGTACATGTCACAGATGAAGTGGTCCATGACATTGGGGCCACAGAAGGGCAGGTTGTAAACCAACAGGAGTTTAACTATAGCATGCAAAAACCCTCCAACCCAAGCCAGCAGAAGCAGGAGAACGCATACCCGTTGCTTCATGACTGTCAAATAATGCAAAGGTTTGCAGATGGCCACGTAGCGGTCATAGGCCATGACCACCAGGAGTAAAATCTCAGCACCACCAAATAAGTGCCCTATAAAAAGCCGGCTCATGCAAGCTTGGAAGGAAATGGTTTTCTTCTCATAGAGTAAGTCTATAATCATATTTGGGGTGACTGTAGTAGAATAAACAGCATCCATAAATGATAAATAGCCAAGAAAGAAGTACATAGGGGCATCCAGGATTGGACTGACCACCACAGTCAAGACAATGAGTACGTTGCCCACCATTGTCACAATGTATATGAGCAAAAACACAACAAATAATATTTTCTGATCCTGGAGGCTCTGGGTGAGCCCCAAGAGGACAAACTCAGTCACGTTGTTTCTTTGTTCCATAGGTTCTGTATGTCTCATTTCAGAGTTCAGGACAAAATTACCTGTAAATATGATTATTATTAGTGACTTCCTGAAATCTTAAGATAATTTATTTATTCATTCAACAAATAGGCATTATGATTTATCATGTTCCATGACATTCAGAGATTATAAGAAAACAAAGCTGCTTAAAACATGGTCCCTAACCTCGGTAATCTTGCAGACTAATGGAGAGACAAGTAATTAGAGACATATATGGAGAAAGGACACATTATTAAATAAACAGGTTGCCATAACTAGCTACATATAGCTAATATGCCTTAAACAAAAATAAAATAAAAATAGATTAAAAGTTTAATGAAAAACTAAAGCAAAATTTAACTTATATTTACTTTCCAGTTAATAAAGGAGATGGCTTTCTATGTTCTAAGGGTGGAATAATCTTCTTAACTAATAATTGAAATCTGAAATAGACATATTTGACAATTTCAAAAAATTTTAACAATTTAGGAAAAGATACCATGATAACATCAATAGACAAAAGTAGTTTGGAGAAAATATTTACATTTTACAGGACATATACAGAATTAACATCAACACAGAGAGAGAGCCCTAAGCAATTAACATACAAACCAACAGCAAAGTCGGCAAATCCTATAAACAAGCAATTGAATGAAGACTACATCCAAATGGCCAGCAAACATATAATAGGATGCTGAAACTCTCCTGTGAACAGAAAAATAGGAACTGAAGTAACATGCTACATCATCCTCTAATTTTTAACAGATTAACAAACAATGTTTAGAGAACATATCAATGGAAACTATCATGAGATTTAGAAATATCTGCCCGTTAAAATGTCCCTAAATAGTTACACTTGAAAGTACTTTTGAAAAATACTGATGTTGAGGGGGTGAATTTATTTTGAATCTTTATAATATGAAAATATGGAAAGGAGTATTACAGAACTGAATCAATCCCCACATATTTTAGTAATCACAAAGGATCCCTAATATTGCTGATTATCAGAATTACATAGGAGAACTTTTAAAAGACTGTGAATTCCCACACCGCCAATGCACTCTTGGAAAATGTAAAGCCTAGTTCAGAATCTTATGTATAAATACACTTCCTGGTTTACCTGCATAATGAGACAGTCATTCCAACCAAGTTCCAGGTTACAGTGCCTTCTCCCTTGTCCTTCATGCACTGCTGCCATCTCTGTGAGCAAAGAGAACAAGATAACACATGCACCGTCACTGGACTTTGACCTGTTTCCATGTAACCAGCTCTTTCCATGCATTCAGGAAGTCTGATTCATTTCAGTTTTTCAGAAAAATATTACCTTTTTGTGTGTGTGTGTGTGTGTGTGTGTGTGAGGATGATCAGCCCTGAGCTAACATCCATGCCAATCTTCCTCTTTTTGCTGAGCAAGACCAGCCTTGAGCTAACATCTATTGCCAATCCTCCTCCTTTTTTTTCCCATTTTCTCCCCAAAGCCCCAGCAGATAGTTGTATGTCATAGTTGCACATCCCTCTAGTTGCTGTATGTGGGACACTGCCTCAGCATGGCCGGACAAGTGCTGCGTCAGTGCGCGCCTGGGATCCAAACCCAGGATGCCAGTAGCGGAGTGTGTGCACTTAACCACTAAGCCACGGGGCTGGCCCCATTTTGCAGTTTCTGTTTTATACCAACAAAAGTGAAATAGCGAAATAGCCTTTACAACGTTTCAATTCTCAATCAGTTATACTGGCCTGTCTTCATACAGCATCATTGAATTTGGGTTGCTTGAAGGATGGAGAATAATTTTATATACATACTTTATTATGGTCTGAATCCGTCATTTCAACTCCTGAAAAACGAGTCATGTAAATACTGATACAGACAAACCTCTCTGAGGTAAAGGCAAAGACCTGTACACACTTTGTTTACATTTGAACCACGGCACATATTATTCAGTCATTCAGTTGGTGCATCTCCAAGGATGGTCTTCTCTAATTAAATTCACTGGGACCCTAATCATAATTTTGAAGTAGACTCTGCATCTCCAGAGACGCCACCAGTGTAATCACCATGTAGAAGAGGACTTACTGAACCATGTCCTCTGAGGGGAAAATAGTAAAAGAACAGCTTGAGATCAAATCACCAAAAGGGAAAAGTCCAGTCCGGGAAGAAGTGAAATATGTATAAACTCTATTGTATAATCATGACCTTCAAAACAGGCAAACCTATTTAAGTTTGAGCCATATCTTTGCAGATGACATCTGACTGCAGATGAACTGACTTCTAGAAGATGATGAATGTGAATTTCAGAACAAGTCATTTAAAACTCGTTTCAAATGCAGATGAAGTTTGTCACATAGTTTCAGACAGGCAAGTGGATAGAATCTGTGTTCGTATGGGAGTGGGGAAAGAGAACACAGTTGTAGGACTTTTCCATTTGTCTCAAAGTGCCCATGGAACGTTCACCAAAATAGGCAATACACTAGGCCATAAAAAGTCGTGATGCGTTTCAAAGGACTTAAATCATACAGAATATATATCTTAGAATAACGTAATTCAATTAGAAATTGTTATGAATAATATAACATTTCCCAATTATTTACAAATTAAGCGACACAGTCTAAATTAAACATGATCATTTTTAAAAATAAATTTTTGACAGAAAGATAATACTATATGTATATAAAAGATATGAAAGTTATGGGTGAAAGATAGGTGAAAGATTATATACACATCTATATATGTTTACTGGATGCAGCTAAAGCAGTGCTTAGAGAGCAATGTAGAGCTTTAAATGCAAGTATTAGAAAACAAGAAATATTATAAGAAATGAACTAAGCTTCCATATCAAGAAGCTGGAAAAGGAAAAACAAAATAATCCTAGAGAACATTGTAGAATGGAAATAGTAAATTGAAGACGGAAATCATTGAAATAGAAATTAAGTGAAAAGTAGAGAAAATATATAAACCCAGGAATCGATTCCTTGAAAGATTAATAAAATTGATAAGTTCCTAGTAAAATGGATTAAGGAAAAATAAGAGAAAAAACAAATTATCAGAATCAAGAATGAAGAGAGTGTCATCACTGCAGATTCCACAGATCTTAAAAAGATAATAAAAGAATATTATAAATGAATTTATGGCAATATACTTGCCAACTAAGAGGAAATGGACCACTGCTATGAAAAACACAACTTTCTAAACACATACAGGAAAATAATTCAAAACAGCAATAATCTAATAAATGTTACCTAAATTAATTCTTTAAAATCCTTCCCCTCCCCAAACAAAATTCCATTGCCATATAGCTTTATCAATGAATTCTATATATCAATTAATCGAGAAATAGTACCAATATTACATAAACACTTTCAGGGACAAGAGGAAACTGAAACGCTTCCTAACTCATTTCATGCACCCAGCATAACCCTTACACCAGAATGAAACAAGGGCATCACAAGAAAAATAATCAGATCAATATCTCACATTAACATACACACAAAACTCTGAATACAATATTTAGTTTGTTTTGGATGTTTTCTTTCTGGATTTTTGTTGTTTTTGTTGCTGTTATGGTTTATTAGGCAGGTCTGGAGTAGTGATCAGTCTAGGGCTAATTGTGATCCACTACTGAAGCAAGATCTTCCTAAGTACTCAAGTACTCAACCCAAAACCCTGCCCTGTGAACCATGAGCTTTTCCAGATGGTGAGAAGAAACACTATTCCTGGCCCAGTGTGAGCACTGGGCACTCTTCTCTAATCCAGCTGAATAAATCTTCCCTCAGCCTCAAGAGTTTCCTCAAATGCACACACTCAGCAGCACTCTGATGAATAGTTGAGGGGGATCCTCTGCAGTTCTCCAGTGTTTTCTCTCTCTCTCTATCTCTGTCTCTCCAGCTCTATTCTCTTCAATATTTTACCCTCAGGATTCTAGCTGCCTTGGTGTCTTGGTCTCCCCAGACTCTCAGCTGCATCTTCGCAACTCAAGGAATCTGCCAGGATCTTCCCAGGTGTCCCTCTCTGTACCACGACATGGAAACTTTTTAAAGGCGATAAGCTGGGACAATTCTAGGGCTCAGCTTGGTTGTTTCCTGTCTCTCAGCTATTACTGTCAATTGTTTCTGACATCTAGTGTCTTGAAAACCATATTTCATGTATTTTTCCTGGTTTGCTTGCTTGTTTTAGGCAGGAGGGTAAATCTGGTCCCTGTTTCTCCATCTTGGCCTTAATTATCGTTCCAAGTACAATGATAATTAAATATTTAAAAATTTATCAGTATGTCATGAAAATAGGTCAAGGAAAAAATATGATCATATTTATAGGTCCTTAAGCATGCTTAATTAATTCCACCTCACTTTCTGAAAAAATATATTGTTATGAGAATAGATGATTTTCCTTACTATAAAATAAAGGTATAAATCTTAAACCCCAAATCAGTAACATGCTTAATAGTGAAACACTAAAAACTGTCTTTCTTATTTAAGGGTAATTTTAAAAGCCGAATTATCCTCCTCTCTGTGTGAGTTTTATGCTTATATCATAACAGAAATACGTGAGATACAATTAGGATAATAATGTTTATGGATGCCTCTGACCCTCTTCAGAACTAGTAGTAAAGAAAAGGTATGAACCGTAGCCAAAAAGCAGAATCATATGATACGCATTCTCAAAACTCCCAGCAAAATGTGTATGCCTACACTGTGTGAGGTGAGGAAATAGGACGTCATTGTGACTGTTCCAGGCCTCCAGTCTCCTCTCCTCTGGCCAGCATTTCTGTCGGAAGAATTCAGTGTTCACAACATGTGCTGGATAAACAAGCTGCATGTGCCATTATTTATTCTGTCCAGGAGGGCAGTTGACTATTTTGGGGGCAAATACCACTTAAAATAAAAAAAATATATAAATATATATATAAATAATAAATGCTAATAAAAATATAATAAAAGCTAGGTATGCTTGTTACTCACAAACCTTGAAAGAAAACATCATCCCAATGGTACTTAAATTGTTTAAGGAA